AACTTAATTTGTGGAAAGAACCCCTAGGTAGAACTTAATTTATGGAACCCATTTTGATTAATATTGAAAATAAAGAAAATCAATGTTTGGGAAAATATATATATATTTTTTTTTAGCTTAAAAGTGTTTATTTATTATGCACGCAGTCCTTCTCTTCTCTCTTAGACTAAACTTCTAAATAAAAAGGAAGGTGCAAGATATTTTCTAGTTAAGCTCATTTTATCACCACTCCAGTCTTTTTTTTTTTTTAAAATCTTGCATTATTTATAATCCCTGGTAGTTACGTCAAACTGGAATAGAAGTGAGAAAGGTTTCATATTGTGTAGAAAATAATCCCTGGTAGTTGCGTCGAATTGTAATGAAAGGGAGAACCACTTGTGGAATATATAGAAAATAATCCCTGGTAGTTGCGCCGAACTGAACTGAAAGAGGAAATATGAGAATGAAGAAAAGAGAAGGAAAACGTAAAGACTTCCCATCAATTAGAAGAAAAAAAAACTTGTTTGGGTTGTCATTTCGTTTTTTTTATACCCAGCACTGAGAATTTAGAGAATCCCTATAATACATAATATAATAAAAAACTAAGGCAATTTAAATCTGTTTGTCCGCGTCCCTTGACTGCTGGAAATTTCACCTTTGCCAAAATTGAGATAGAGAGTTTGGACATTCTATTACATTCTTAAAGAGTGACGACAGATCAAATTTGAATATGAGCTGCCAGCAACAAAAGCAATTGAACATACAACTATAACCCTAAGTTGGCATTAGCATTTACGAGAACTACGCAGAGCGTGCCAGAAAGGAAAGAGAATCAATCATCAGAAACCCAAAGTACACAACAAACTTACCAACCAACTGAACTTATCGCAGCTTTATCTCCCTCTTACTTGCTTTCAACCTTGTTTCGAATGAGAGAAATTTCTCCATTGACGGACTAGGAGTATGCTCATAGTGTATAAATGTTTGCAAAAACAATAACCTGCCGAAAGGTAATTAATTAAATAGTGGTTAATTTAAGTGGGTGAGGTTATTCAAGCGACCAGCTGACGCAGCTGCATGTTGCAAGCTGCCTCACCGAGAGCTGTTAGCTTTCAAACCGATATCTTCTGCTTAAAAAGTGCATTTTACGACTCAACATTTAGTCTCTCTTTGAGAACACCCAGTAATCAGAAGATTAAGTCAGAAACAGAAAGAGTTCCCGGAATGATATGAGTCGAGTTTCTGAAGAAAAAGTCTGCAAAAGGACGCAAGCGTGAGAAGATACAGATATAATTGTAGCGAATATCTTCACACAAGACATAACAACCAAATTAGGTTCCTTCTTGATAGCTTGGCCCAATGGAAGAATTTCATAATGCACCATTGTCTTATTACGTCTTGATCGTAGCACATTTTTCTGAATCTACTTGTTTAGTCGACCGTTAACTTGGTCGGCTGGTGCAACGTAATCGTAAAACTTCGCAGAGTGCATAGGTTGTAGCAAAAATTTGCTCGCAGTCATATCAGTTGACTTTATTTTATGAACTACGTATGAGAAGGTTACTAACAATATTAAGTACGTTTAAGTTAAATTTAAATCAGAGGCATTTTTGAATGGATCCTTCTTAAGAAGAGTGACAAGTGGCTTTAAGTACTGATTTATAACTATGGATAAAACCTGTGACTATCACTAATGCTATGAATTGGGCTTGCAAATTCCAGAATCTAATTGAATCCGATTAATCTGGTCTAATGCAAGCAAAAAATCTAAGGATGATCATCCTGGTCATGGTGCTTGTGAGTTATTCATTCGTTTCCATAGATGACATTTGGAAGTAGACAATGCCAACTCATGACAACCTTACAAAGCGACGCACTTAATATGATCACAAATGCGTTGCGAAATGTATTGTGAAATTGAGTGTGTATGGCTGAATTCGAATTTAAGTGACTGTCAAAAAATATCGCGGCCTAAACAATTCATTCTGAGAGCAAGTGTTAAAGCCATTGGATGTCTTACAATATCCACTCGAAAATCTGGATGATTGATTTAATGTTGAAATGAAAGATTAGAAAAGAAAATGCTGTATAGTAATTTTGAAGATTAATTTGTTATTTGTAGATTATGAAAATATATATATTATATAAACTTAAGATTTTAATGATCTCATCTAATTCCTTAAATATTTAGAAATTATAGATGTTTTATTTAGGAAATTTTTAGCTGACTCAAATAGTCAATTTTTCGGGTCGCTCGCTTGAACTTTGCATGACTTTCGGCGATTCTACACATCGCCCTGTTGATTTGAGGAAATGTGCAAACTCTGAATTGCAACCACTTTAATTTAGCGGCTGAAATCGTAGCGAATTATCTCGAGTTGTCCGTATTTTTAACGCTTTCATTTTTCAACCGATTGGTTTCAAATTTCAGCTGTGCGCCATAATGAAATTCACTACTGAACAAGGTGGAATTCGTGTAAGCTTTATTTGATTTTTGACAGATGATTTTTTATTCAAAATCGAGGCCATTTTTGCAAAATTAATAATTTCGTAAATATGATTGTAGCCCTTTCCATTCTTCATTTATTTTCTTTTTACTAATGTCGACATAGAAGTGCAACGGGTTAAGAGTTTTAATAATTTTATATTATTGATAGAAAATTTGGACCTGCAGAAATACGACCAATTAGATTTTATAGAAAAAAACGTGCGTTCATCGTTTGTTTGTACCACATAAAACTTTATGTGGTCATCAAGAAAAGCACAGTTACCTTACAAAATTCATCCAAATTAGTACACTTACCTGATAAAATACTTTACTTATCATTTATTTTAATGATAATTTTTTCAAGATGTGAATTTGCAAGATTTTGGGTTCAACCTTGCACAATATATAAAAAACTTTCGAAATGTAAACGTTATTGTCAGACCCTTACTAATATAAAACTACCCCATAATTTAGCAATAAAAGAAAGTTTAATAAAAACTTTTTCTACTTCTCATTAAATTTTGAAATATATTTAAAAAAAACAAACAAAATAAAAATGAGCACAAAAACATCGGTAGAAAAAAAAACACTTGTAGCAACCTTTTTAATTAAACACTCAACCATGAAATTACAAATGTTACAATATATATATGTATACAGTAAAAGCTCCTTATTCGCGCTGCCCTTACTCGCGGTTTCACTATTTGCGGATTAAAAAATGTGACCCAATTCCCATATTCGCACATCTACTTTTGGACAATGCACCAGGTCATCCTCGCGAACTTGAAACTATGCATCCAAACGTAAAAGTGACATTTTTACCTCCCAACACGACGGCTTTGCTACAACCTATGGGCCAAGGAATAATCCAGGCCTTTAAACTCTATTACATTAGATGAACCTTCAAAATCATATTGCATAATATGGAATTTAATCCTGATATGAATGTTATGGAATGCAGGAAGAAATTTAACGTAGCAAAATTCATCGTCAACATGAAAGAATCATTGAAAGAACTGAAGCCACACATATAGAAGTCATGCTGGAAAACACTGTGGCCTGCTCTGACTGCGGAAAATGACGAAGAATCTGTGTAAGTTCAAACTTTGGCTGCAAACTTAGTCGAAATCGCGAATGGAATAGGACGAGATGGGTTCGAACAGACAGAATCAAGTATCATTTAGGAATTTCTTGAAGCTCAAGATGAAGATTTGATTGAAACCGATTTGCAGGAAACGTTAAATTCATCGCCCATTGAAGAAGAGGCTTCAACAAGTGACATTTGATGTGAAAATTCTTGGCGAAGGTTTAAGAATGGCAAATGAGCTTGGCGATTTCTTTATGAACACTGATCCGTCCATGGAACGAAGTCTTATTTTTAAGAGGCAAATTGCTAACGCGTCTGCTGCGTATTTGAAGGAGCTTTTAAAAACTGCCAAAACACACAAAAATTCATACAAAGTTCTTCAAATCACTGCTTAAGCCTTAAGATAATTAATTAAAATGTTCAAAAACTTCAATTAAATTGATTTTTTTATATATCCGATTTTTTTTTATTTTGTCACTTAGGAACGTGTCCCCAATAATCCCATATAAATTACCATTCCGTATTCATGGTTTCTGTATTCGCGGCATTTTTGTGAAACGTGTACCCCACGAATAAGGAGCTTTTACTGCATATACTATGTACATTATATGTATATCTATATTATATATATTAACCCATGAAGCTGAGCATATTCATGGAAAAACCGCATTCTTTTGCAAGCTGTACATACGTACACGAGCATGTACAGACAGATAAGCTCGTTTAGTAATATTAAAAGCATAAACCATGAAAACACTGGTTGAAAAATTATTACTTAAATGAAGTGGGTCAGTCAAATGTTGAAGGGAAAGCAAATAAGTGTGTAGTGAAGTAAGCGTAGCATGAAAAGAAAATTTAGGTAATATTTGGAGAAAAAATAGAGCAATAATCAGAGCTAAAGCGGAAAAAAGAGAAATTAATTTGAAGTGATTCAACAGGGCTAGTAAAGAATTTTCCACTTTTCAAACGCAAAAAAGTAGATTTTCCGCACAAATGAAAAGCCTAAATAAATTGTTTACACTTGCCAGCATGGATTGACACAGTTTTTTGATATTTTCGCTTTTGCTAGCTTCGGCAAATTAGTCCAAATATTAGAGAGATAGAAATGTTTTGATTTCCCTCTCCCTCTCTCTTTGTTTCCTTTACACGTTTTATGCGATTTGTAACATTTCTCAAAAATATAAAAACAAATTTTTGATTTTCTTTCCATTACATACTTTTTCATAATTTGTTTTTTTTTTTTATATTTTACTGTTGAAAACATGCCAACACACTTTCCTTCCGGTTTTGGTGCGCGCTTACATTATAACGACAACAACAAATGCAATCAGCCTAGAAGAAAAATAAAAAAAGGGAAAACATTGCATGCATACAGTCACTTAGTCAGTCAACCAGTTTGTCAGTATGCCACGCTTGGCCAGTAGAGCTAACTCAAACATAACTTACCCATTGAAATGTTTTCATGTCCTATTTTTCCTTGTGCTCTCCTCTTAGTGTAAGCCAGCTTTATTTTACATTAATTCTAATACGCATCGTATATATGCATGTAAATGGTCGCATGTACTTGCGTAAGTGTATATGTAAAATACTATAAACATAAATAGGGGAAAACTTGCTTATGTATATTTTCGTAGCAGTTCATATGTATCTGCTTGTGAAGATGTGTATGAATATGCAATATATTGTCTTCCTGTTATGCTGTCGTGTTATGTCTCCGCTATTGTTGGCAACTCGTCATATACAATTCACACACAACTCTTATATAACACAATTTTAAATAACTTGCTATCTCTGCAAGCGCTTGTAAACGCAAGTACATGTAGTCTTTATGTCCCTCTTTGCCTCCCTCTCTTTACATCACGCTCTCTTTTTCTCAATGTCTCTCACACTCTTTTTCTCTTTTTGCATTTTTTTTTCTATTTGTAAAATTCATATATATACCTATCATTATCATATGATTTCCATGCAAGTTGTTGTCTTATCTACTTTTCATCTTTTTTTTAATTCAGTTTCTTTTTCGGACTTCGTCTCTTTTAAAAAAAGTAGATTTAATCTGATTATATTCTAAGAAAAAATCAAAAGGAGTTTGAAAAGGAAGGAAATTTTCGTTTATGCAAAGTTTTTTTATTCTTTTTCAGATTCCCAAAGCGGGCAACCATAAACAGTAATAATTGTCTATCCAATTCTAAAAAAGAGGTTAAAAATTAATGACAACACCTGGCGTAGTCCGAATTATTAAATTGAATTAAGATCGTATTTTACCATCATTATACTCTACTAATGTTGACAAGGTAAATTTGCCAGTTTGGCGAAATTTTAAAAGAAATGAATGTAGATAAGCAATAAAAGAGATTATCTAAAGCGGTCATCCAAGAGGAAGGGCTGCTGGCTTTTGTAAGGACTTTCCTCATTTCTCAATGATGTTTTCACAATGGTATAAATTTTAAACCCTTTTCATCGTAATTTGAAAAATTTTCTTTATTAAGGCAACCAATCGAACTCCCTTGGTATGGTATTTCTTTTTGGGTATTCGTTTTGCTTTTTACATGCAATTTTTGCGAATGTGCAAGCCAGAAAGTCTAAATTATCTGCACGACATCGCCTAATATGTCGCTTATGCCTCCCATCAACTATGAGAAATTGTGGCTTATTGCTCCATAACGGCTTGGTTATTATAAGAACGTGGACTTGGGTCCGAGAAATGGACCAATAATATTCAAATTCATGTGTGAAGTCTAAATATAATCGCAACATATCGCAAATTAAAATTTGTTGACGTGTCAATACTTGTTTTCTTAATAGTATTATATAATGGGGAATAAACAAACAAAAAAGAAGATTTCAATCGGTCGTGGCTGAATCATTTATAGCAATCACCATTATCCTGAAAAGACAAAAGAAGTAGAAGAACCAAACTTTCATCCTATTTTGAAGTTAGAGCGGTTCATTTTTTTTTTATTTTCAAAATAAAAGTTTTTGTCGTATAAGCGTGTGCTTTGAAACGTCTAGCTTACTTGCAAATTCTTTGGTAGATTTGTAGGCGATATCTTTATATTCGCTAACGGAAGAATGTTTACCACAGATACCACACAGTTAGGCAGATGGACACCTGGAGCAGATGGACATGTTTAGCTGCATTCCAAATTTGAAACTGACCAAGAATTTATATATTTTATGGGGTTTTTTTCTGCATTGAAAAAAAAATTAAATTTTAATACATTATAACTTTGGCAACTGATCGCGCTGTGGTTGTACGGTTTGATTTGTGTAAAGAATTACTGCACTTTTTTCTTTTGTCTTATTGCTTTATAGCTTCATTTTGGTTCTTGAGATTAACACTGGTGCCCTCGATAATAAGTCTCTTTCGTGTTTTTTTTTTTTTTTTGGTGATTACAGCTTTTCTCTTGGCATGCTCTTTGTTTACCGTTGCTTCAATAGTGTGAAATTTACGTCTAATTTGAGAGAGAGTTTTTGTGATTTTATTTTCTCTCTTTTTTGGCGTTTGCAGTTTGGTTTTGCTTTCGCTCTCTTGATACTGTGTCAGCGTAACGGAGAAGTTTGCTTAAATTTGTGGACAAAAATTGTATTGTGAACCTGTTTGTAATTTGTTCTTTATTTCCACTTCTGTCGTATTTGACTGGACATGGATTGTTTATATACACCATGTCGTGCGAAAACGGGCCCAGAGTCTGAACGATTCATTTCGTGTTGGCTTTGCGATCGTTCTTGCCCTGCAAAGTGTGTTGGTATTATCGGCCGTGCTGCTAACGCACACGCTGATCCCTCGAAAGAATTACGTTGGTCATGTCCTGACTGTAGAAAGCGGGACATCGATTTTTACAAACTCTTCATGGAGACGAGAAACGGTTTCTCGGAATTGAGTAAACATCTCGACTCGTTGTGGGAGAAGTTTGAGCTAATTAAGATGAGCGTCATATTTTTGAGCACTCCTCTTCTTCCCAAACTAGCAAAATTAAATCTCGTAGCGTAGCGTGTGGCACGTCACCTGTGATTCCTTCTATATGTGATTCTTTGGTGCAAGTTAGCGCTCCCTCAATCTCTACGATGAACGTCAGCGTTTCCGATATTGCTGAGTCGGTCGGTAACAAAATAGATACAAATAAGCCAAGTCCTTCTGATTTAAGCTATGCTGAAATGGCAAGGGTATCTCTCCCAGTCCCGTTACGGACTCTACTCAGGCGTCATCGTCTAAAAATTATAAAGAGCAAAATAAATCATCCTCTCCCCCTGGCTGTTCAAGTGTGAACGCTGGTCACCAAACTGGACATGTCGCACAAGCTGCTCGTGCAAGTGTGATAACCCCCTCAATATTGTTCCCATCTCCTAACTCCCCAACCGTGTACCCTACTGTTCTTAGTAGTAATGATATTTGCTTGATGGCAGTTCCTCCCAGACAGCCAATATTTGTGTCAAGACTGACACCAGATACATCTGTTGATAACATAAAAAGTTATCTGGCAGCGAAAGCCTCTTTTGTCAGTTTAAAGCGTGTTAGTATTTTCAAATTGGCTCCTTCCCAACCTAGAGCTATCTCATCTGTTAAAATTCTAGTTCCGACTGAAAATATGGATTTGATGTTAAATAAACCCTTGGACCCTTAATTAGGGAATTTATCCCTCGGGATCGACCCCGTAATGCTAACGTAGTAACTTTTTCCCCTTCAAAAAATTAAATATTTCTTCAGGCCCATTTTCTCTCATTTATCAAAATGTTATGGGCTTAAATTCAAAAATTCATTCTGCCTTCCTAAATTCAGTGAGCACGGAGTTTCCCTGTTTCCTGTATAGCAATGGTGTTTTAGTTGCCATTTTTTCGGCAGTTCCCTCCTATTCATTTGAATTTCCGACTACTCCCGACGTTGAATTTATAGCTATTCGAGTGAAATTTCCTAATAAACAATTATATGTGACCTGCTCCTATATTCCCCCAAATTCGAATATCTCTGTATATGAGAAACTGGCCGCCCTCATTTGTGAAGTGGCCAAGCAATCTAAACCTAACGATGTAGTCATAGCTTTGGGTGACTTCAATTTGCCTCAAGTCACTTGGTGTTAACAATGATAGTTTTGGCTGTTTGATTTCTACCTCAACAACTGGTAGAGCCGTTGCGGTCTTTAATGAATTATTTGATCGTAATTTAGTTCAATACAATGGTACCCCTAATTGCAATGGTAGATTGCTTGATCTTTGCTTTGCCAATTTTCCTGAGATTTGCGTTAATCGTTGTCTTCCGTTTAGTTTACCTGAGGATCCATATCATCCAGCATTGGGTATTTCCTTTCGTCACAAGCTTGTTGGTTCGTTGAACTCCTATAACGTTCCAAATTCAAATTTTTCATGTAAATTTTATGGCTTCCATAAACCCAATGTTTCCATGCTAAAATCACATTTTTTCTCATATTGTGCTTGATTTCTCAGTGGAAAGTATTGACAGCTTACTGTCGTCCTTCTACAATATATTAAATCAAGCTATTTTTGCTATTTCCGCGTTCCGATCAAGCAGTCCCGTCCTCGAAGCAAGTGTCCCCCCGTGGTCTAATAAAACAATTAAATATTACAAGAAAAGGAAAAACAAGCTTTCCAAAAAATTTTCGAAAAGTGGTTCGTCTTTCGACTATTTCGCTTACTCTGGCAAGGCAAAAATTTAATTCCCTCAACCGCCAATACTTTTGCAGACACCTTCAGTTTGTTAAATCCTCCTTGTTTGCTAATCCTAAATACTTTTTTAAGTTCGTTAATTCCAAAAGGAAAATCTCCATAAATCCCTCGCATGTGTTTTTTTATGGCTCCGAGTCCTCGGATAATTTTGAAACCTCAAATCTCTTTGCGGAATACTTCCGACAGAACTTTTCAACTGCCAATTTTGATTTATCAGCAAACTATCCATATCCGATTTGATTTCAATTCCTAACTTTGTTATATCTGAAAATGACGTTTTTGAAGGATTGAGCTCCTTAAAATATAATTCTTCGCCTGGACCTGATGGAATCCTCTCACGTTTACTTATATCTTGTGCTGGCGAGCTATGTGGTGTTATCTCAAACATTTTTAACAAGTCCTTGAATTTAGAAAGTGATAGTAGGCAACTTGTAGGGAACTACAGAGGCACCAATCTGTCAGAGTTTACTGCTCATGTTTTCAAGGCTTTTTCTAGTGGCTCTCGCACTGATGTCGTATACACTGACTTTAGCAAAGCGTTTGATTTGGTTAACCATAGACTACTTATCTTTAAACTCCAAGCCTCTGGCTTACCTTTCTTCTTAGAGGAATGGTTAAGCTCTTATCTACATGGTAGATCATTCAAGGTTTTGTTTAACCTCATTACCTCGGATGAATTTCCGTTGACGTCTGGCGTACCTCAAGGTAGCCACTTAGGACCCATTTTATTTAATTTATACATTAATGATTTGCCCTCCGTGATTAAATTCAGCGAGATCTTAATGTAGGCTGATGATGTGAAACTGTTTTCTTCCTTTTCCGTAGAATCGCAATCACATCATCTTCAAAGTGATTTGGATAATTTTGTTGCATGGTGCTCTTTGAATCTTCTGAAACTAAATCTGAGTAAATGTAAGAAACTTTCATTCTCCAGACGAAAGTCATTCGTTACTTAGTATTTCATTCATTCGCACAAGTTGGAGGACGTCGATTCGTTCACAGATTCAGGCGTTCTATTTGATTATAGGTTACGAAAAC